AAAAATAAAATGTTATAAAAAAAAACAAAAATATATATACTATATTTAACATTTTTTAAAAGTTTAGGAGCACACATCAATAGTCTAGTTAACGGAATGTTTATCAAACAGACCATTTTGAAACAAAATTAATAATTTATAGATCATTTTGAAAGAAAAAATTATTTCTAAACTAAACTAAAATAAATCATATAATTAATAGACAATTTATTGAATTTAACCATTACTCCACTGACTAAAAGAAAGTTTTTGTTTTTCTGGGATAATTCAGGAACCAAACCATCCCTGAAAAAGGCTGTTCTAGTTCCACATCATTTTCCATCACATTCATCCCAAGTTTTCATCTCCCAGGTCAACTTGTTTTTTCAGTTCATTGAATTAATGGTTCCTTTGTTTGTTAATTTTCCGCTCAAATTCTCCTGTTTTTCATTCCTGTCTTAGTATCTGCGTTGTTTCTAGATATCTTTTGATGAGGTTTTGCAAAAATTAAATCAATTTCAGAAAGCCTGCAATAGAGTAGATGAGTATGAATTCCCATTCCCAGTTCAATAGATTACCTTATTGTGACAGTGGTATGAAATTTCAAAATGGGTGCATTCTGTCTCATCCAACTCAGTACCAAAACGCTGAGATTCCAAGCGGTTTCCAATTCAATGATCAATCCATAGGGTTTAAATCCATGGATGCCCCATTTGTAGCTTCTTTTGGTTTCAGTAATAATTCTAGCATGGATAAAGAGTGGGATTCTAGTTCTCCCTCTGATGACACTTACTTGGAAGACACTATTCTCAAGTGCATAAGCCAGGAGCTTATGAAAGAGAACATGGAAGAAAAGTCCTGTATGTCTCACGATGCATTAGCTCTTCACGCTACAGAGAAATCTCTGTATGAAGTTCTTGGCCAGAACTACCCTCTTATTCATCCAACCCAAACCCAAACTTCTTATCAAGGTGCTCAAAACCTAGTAGGTTGTTTTTCAGGTACCTTCAATGTTCATAATGGATATGGCAGTTATAGTTACGATACTAGCCGCCGGATTGATCCACCATTGGATGGTGATCTTTTGGGAAATAATAGTAGATCATCTTTCTTGGAAACATCTGCTGCTGCAAACTCTGTTTTTCAATCAACTTCAAAATTTAGATTAGCATCATCATCACTCATCTCTGAAAACAATTTCCCTAACATTCGTAATAGAGTGTTAGGTTCATCTGTTGGTGAGTTTGTGATTCCAAATTATATCAGCGATAGTGAATTGGTATGGCAATTCAACAAAGGAGTAGAGGAAGCTCGAAAGTTCCTTCCTAAAGTTAATTCGCTAATTATTGATGTGGAAAACATTGCATCAGCACCAGAATTATGGAAGGAAGAGACTTCCAAGACGATTGTTAATGCAGAGCAAGAAGAAAGGGAGCGTCCGCCTAATCAATTGACAGGAAAGAAGAAACATGAGCGAGAAGATGAAGATTTAGAAGAAGGAAGGAGCAACAAACAGTCGGCAGGTTCTGCGGATGAGATTGAGAATGAGCTGTTAGACTTGTTAGATAAGGTGACACTCTGTGGTTGCAAAACAAAGCACCGTCCTACTTGCATTCTCAATCATCCTTTGCAGGATGTGGAAAGTAAGACGTCGCAGCTGAAGGAGCAGACAAATGGATTTACTGCTGTTGGGAAGGCTCGTGGCAAGAAACAAGGAGATAAGGAGGACGTAGTTGACTTGAGGACCCTCCTGATTTCATGTGCAAAAGCTGTCTCATCTAATGATCTCAGGACTGCTAATGAGCAACTTAAGCAGATCAGGGAGCATTCTTCACAGGTTGGTGATTGGTATCAGAGATTAGCTCATTTCTTTGGTGAAGCCCTTGAAGCGCGCATTGCTGGAATTGGAAATCAGATCTATACTGATTTATCTTCCAAAACAAAATCAGCTGCAGATATTCTGAGAGTTTATCAACTCTATATTTCGACCTGTCCCTTCCAGAAGTATGCAATTGTCTGTGCAAACCGCAGTATTTTGGAGTTCGTCAAGGAAAAGAAAGCAACAACACTCCATATTATTGACTTCGGCATTCTCTATGGTTTTCAGTGGCCTGTTTTCATCTTGCGCTTGTCAAAGCTGCCTGGGGGTCCTCCAAAACTACGTATTACAGGGATAGATTTTCCCCAACGTGGCTTGCGTCCATCTGGAGCTGTGGAGGAGACAGGGCGTCGCCTGGCAAAGTACTGTGAACGATTTAATGTTCCATTTGAGTATAATGCCATAGCACAGAAGTGGGAGACTATAAAATTTGAGGACCTCAAGATTAGGCCCAATGAGTTTGTTGCTGTTAACAGTCTCAACCGGTTTAAGAACCTATTTGATGAGACAGTTGCGGTGAACAATCCAAGGGATGCTGTTCTCAAGTTAATTAGGAAGATAAATCCAGATATTTTTGTACACGCCATTGTGAATGGAAACCACAATGCCCCTTTCTTTTTCACACGGTTCAAGGAGGCAATCTTTGATTACTCTGCCCTGCTTGATATGTGTGATACAATTATCCCACGAGAAGATCAAGTGAGGTTGATGCTTGAGAAAGAGTACTGGGGGCGTCAAGTAATGAATGTTGTGGCATGTGAGGGCACCAAGAGAACAGAGAGGGCTGAGACCTATAAGCAGTGGCATGCCCGGACCGTGAGGGCTGGGTTCAGGCAGCGTCCTCTGAACCCTGATTTGATGAAGCAATTGAAATATAGGGTGAAACAGGAATACCACAATGATTTTTTTGTGGAACAGGATGGCCAATGGTTGCTGCAAGGTTGGAAGGGTCGAATTCTCTTTGCATCCTCTGTATGGCAAGCAGCATAGGCCGGACTCAAGGAGTCAGGTGGAATCAATATCAGCTTGCTATTTTTCTTGTCTTCTGCAAAACCCGTAGGTTTATCATGACTTGCAAACTTAGCTTCCTATTAATAATGTTCAAATTTCTTGTGCACTCCACAGATTTGGCATAGCTCTGAGCCGTATTCCTTATTTGTACATTTGTCAATGAGATTTTGACAATCAACCACCTTATTGTTCTTTCGCTTTATGACATATGTTATGTTTTCTCTGGAGGCTTAACTAGTTCCTGTTACCCGGTAGTTGCTCCACATTTATCTATTGATATATATATTTCAATGTTTAATTACTTGCTGGAAAATTTTGACAAAGTCTTTGAAGTTGAGAAGGGATAAGGTATGGGTATAGTTACCTACCACTTTATTAAAGGTGTTTGATTGTATATAATTTAAGTTAATTTAATTTTTAAATAATTAATTATAATGTTAAAGAATATTAATTTATAGATTAAATTTAACTTATTAAATAATAAATATTAATTATTTTTATTAATTATTTAATTATTTTTAAATTTAATAATTAAACTAATAAAATTAAATAATCTTTAAAAAAAAAAAAAAAGGGTCACGCGATGTAATTTTGGCTAGTGTGACGGCCCCTAGTAAAAGCAATGTCTAGAAATTTCCAAGCAACCAAATATAAAATAATACAGTGGATTAAACAGGTGCCAAGCTCGTTCAATGTATCTCTTAGTGGTGCGAGCAGGTCACCTTGGCCTCTACTATATAGTATTATAAAACACTTAATCATGGAATTCTTTATTTTTTTATATATATAAAGAATTATAGTATTCTTTATTAGTATCATTATAAGACTAATTAATTAGCGGCAAAGGAGAGGACTGGTCGGAAATAATTGTGACGTGATGATTAAAAAGTGGGGGATTGATTTGAATAATTAGAAGGCATATCTTAAAAAGATATGTCCGCTCTTATATTTTAGTTCAGTATTTCTCTGTTTTGCTTTTGTCATTTTTGAATAGAAAATAAATAGTTGGTGTGGAGATGAGAAAAGGACCATGTAAATTTGATGATTTTCTATCTAAGTTCAACCAACAATAATATTATTACTAAATACGCATAACATATGGTATAGGTTATAACTTAATTATAATAATTTTTTTTAATAAGATATATATAGATATATTTTTTGAACATGTTAACATGAGATGAGATCGAACTTAGATTCAAGGGAGAAGGAGGAGTGCATTTTTTTTATATATAATTAATATCATTAGATTTGAATGGTAAGATGCTTTTAATAAAAATATTTTAAATTGTGAAATTTAAATTTTGAACATGGAGAGAGAAATTAAAAAAATTATCTTTTATTTTTTGTATAATTTATGATATGATATATTAAAAAATTTTAGTAAAAATCAAATTATACAGGTAAAATTAAGAGATCGAGATTAATCTCACAACAAGCAAAGTCTTGAGATTAATTTCTCATTGACTTAACTTACATTTAATTAAGTTTGGAATAATTGCAATTCATGAAGTAACTAACTCCTTTTCAAACTTCCACCAAAAAATTACCCACCTTCTCTTACATTGCAACATCTAGGAAAGTTTCGTGACTCCTACATACAAAACACAATTGTATTAAATTCAGTATTATCAACCAATACAAAAGCATGCACGTGCAGG